GTTTGTTTTCTAAATTCTTTTTTTTTTAATTTTTTAAAATTTCTTTCAAGTGTTCTAGAATCAATGTTTATGCACCACACCCAGTGATTCATGCAATACCTGCCCTCCATAATACCCACCACCAAGCTCACCCAGTCTCCACCCCACAAAACCCTCATGTGGTTTTACAGAGTCCATAGTCTCTCATAGTTCATCTCCCTCTCCAGTTTCTCCCAACTCCTTTCTCCTCTCCATCTCCCCATGTCCTCTGTGTTATTTCTTATGCTCCACAAATAAGTGAAACCATAGGATAACTGATTCTCTCTGCTTGACTTATTTCACTCAGCATAATCTCTTCCAGTCCCGTCCATGTTGATACAAAAACTGGGTATTCAGCCTTTCTGATGGAGGCATAATACTCCATAGTGTATATGGACTTCATTTTCCTTATCCACTTGTCCATTGAAGGGCATCTTTGTTCTTTACACACTTTGGCAACTGTGGCCATTGCTGCTATGAACATTGGGGTACAGATGGCCCTTCATTATGAAGCTTATCATAATTAAACAAGGGTAGATAAAATAAATATTTATAGTTTTAGAAAGAATAATAAATGGAAACCACATCTACCCACGCAAAGCAGAGACATCTTTAAAAAAATAAGAACAATCAGCTATCTGTCCATTCTGCAATTAACTAGTATACTGAGCATGGCATTAATCATTCCTTTTATTTTCTATACTTTCTTTTTACCTTTGATTGCATCTCCAAACTTTTGTGAATTTGAAACAATGAGTAGAAACAGCTGGGAAATGAAAGAAATTTGTCTATTTGGTGAGAACACAAGAGACATTAAGCTTAAGAGAGCCTCAGGGTCAGTGTTTTTTGAACTTCCTGAGAGTTAACACAGCACCTACTGGAGAAGACAGACAAGGCTCTGGAAAAATAAGAGACCTCTATTGGGCATCCGGTCTTTCTCTAGGTGAGCAAGTTACTAAATATCTAGCAGGAATATAGTCTAAGGTTAGGATTCCATTCTCTGTTATCTGGCTCATCATATTCTCCTAGAGGAGTCCCTGAACACTTTTCTGGAGGGAAAGAAGAGTACTCTTGACTGACCATGACATTGGCGCTTTCTCTTATAACAAAAACACAGCTCAGACTGGAAAGTACTGAAAAGGAATCCAAGCTAGAAACACACAAGCACTTCAAGCTGATATCAGTGTTGCCAGCCCCTTAGTGATGTCGCTTTCCTTATGGTTGAGTTTTTTGGTTTCTTGAGGAAGATTGTGAAAAGGGGATGGTCACCTGAGGAAGGTTGTTTCAGATTTCAATATCTATGTAAGATCCATGTTTTCATCCTAATAGCACATTGGATTCCCCTGATCCAAGCAGGTGTGTTTAATGCTCTACTGAGACAAATAGGCTTGGGGAGGGACTGGTAGAACATGGACTATTGTGCTTACTGCAGTAGGGAAAGGGGATCTGCAGACTTACCAAGTTATACAATAATTTACATTCATTCTAATTTTTGCTTTTATCATCACCATCATTTTGATACTCATGACAGTTGAGAAACATGAGGGAAAAAATTTACGTGGTTGATGGTTACTACAAAATGAATGGTTACTCAAGTCAAACAGTTGCCTGGAAAAGGGTCCACACAACCAAGAATGTGAGAAAATGTGCCTTGACCTAGTTTTCTTCGTGTTTCTTGTCCTGGCTTTGTAAGCACACGTTTCCTTCTATTTCTCTTTGTCTTCTCCTTTAGGATACCCTATTCTATACATCTTGGGGCTCCTGAAAGTTTCCATAGTTCCCTGATAGTTTTGGATCTCTATTTTTTTCCCTCTGTATATTAGATTTCACACTTCTCTTTGCTGTGACCTGAGGTCATTAATCTTTTTATTTCCAATCTATAGTCTGTCTCACATAATGTGCTTTTTATATGTGCTTTATTATGTCTTCTATTTCTTGGCTGAGATGTATTATCTCTCCAACAATTTTCAAATAATTTCTCCATTTTGGGGTCAATTTTTAAGGAACTGGTTTAAAGTGTTTGTGAGAAAATTTAAATTATCTTTCATACTGGCTTAAGAGTCTCTCAGTTTCTTTTTCATGCCAGTGGAGGTTTTCCTTTTGTCACACATTGAGTAATTTTGACACTTGTCCTGAATCTATCCAGTGTTATGCTATGCAACTGTGATTCCTGGGTAATTGCCAAGTACAATTTTTGTTTTAGGAGATACTCCAGGCTCCTAGTTTCAAAGAGCCTCCTGTGGAATGTGGTTTTGTGTCAGGCAGTTTTCAAAAATCTTTGTTCTGCTATTTTCATCTGTCCTAAGTAGAAGCTATATAGAGAGTTTCATAGGGTCACATCTTGGATGTCAGTGGATGTCCCTTCCTCAGTTCTGTCCCCCCCACATCTTTCCATCCTCCATAATATCAAACACTGCACAAGTGCAACTAAGAGATGACCAAAAACTCATCATCAATTTACAGCATTGCATTCCCAGGCTTCTCTCTCTCTAGTATCTCCATAGTATCTACAGTTCTCTGGATCTTCCTTGTGGTCTTCTGGACAGAAACTGGGTCATTGGCTCCTCTTCACTGCTGTGTAATTCTCTGCACAGTGCTTATCTCTGGACCATGTTCCATGAGGACAGAAAGGATTCTGTTCTGGGCCAAAATCCTGAAGTGAGAAAAGCAAGTTCTCAAAGCCATCACTGTTGTTTCTCTCACTGTAGAAGCATTTCCTTTGGGAAGGGGCATAAAGAAGGAGATGAATAAAATATAAAAGAAAAGAAAATGGATATTCAATCTTGCTCTGAGTGTTAGATATCAACTTTTTCATGTGTCAAGCCAGACAATGGAGTATTCCTGGATCTCTTTGTCCCAAGATGGTGCTTGGTCCTGGTTCCCCATTGCTTTGAGGACAGGTTCCAAGAGTCTGAAAGAAAAATAGAAAAATCATCATTGTTTTCCTTTTCTTGCAATGTCAGTGTCATTCCCAATCTGTCTTGTAGGATTTTGTTCTAGGGACTCAAGCCACTTCTACATGCATTCTTTCCAGGTTTACAGCAACATTCATTGGGGGAAAGGTGGTAACTGCTTATTATATCTTAAATTGAACCTGAACCTGATAATAGTACTTCCAATTTGGCAATGTTACATGTTTAAACAGGCATTAGAGAAAAGGGAAAATTGAAAAAGAATGTTAGGGGTGCCTGGGTGGCTCCGTGGGTTAAAGCCTCTGCCTTTGGCTCAGGTCATGATCTCAGGGCCCTGGGATGGAGTCCAGCATCAGGCTCTCTGCTCAGCAGGAAGCCTGCTTCCTCCTCTCTCGCTCTGCCTGCCTCTCTACCTACTTCTGATCTATGTATGTCAAATAAATAAATAAAATCTTTAAAAAAAGAAAAAGAATTTTAAAACTTTCACAGGAAATAAATAGGAGAGTGTATTCCACAATGCTTCTGTTCTTTCAGTATTGGAAGGCCAAAGAGATTAGTTTTATGGTGACCAGTGGCTGAGTGATGGCAAAAAACTGAGTAGAAATACAGGTGTCTACTGCCAGACAAACAGGTCAAAGATAAAATGGAATGAAAGATGGATAATATAAAGTTTATAAAAAATAATCCCCTGGGCACCATTATCAAATAATACACATCCCTATTCTGGTTCATTTCTCCCTAGATCATGTACCATGGACAGTGCAACATTCTTCTTCATTTCTTGGGTTGAGATCTCAGGCTGAATAAGGTTAAGTGGCTTGCTCATGAGTGGAAGGTGCAGAATGTCCTGACTGTTGCCCCTTCTCCCCTCATGAGGTTCACTTACACCTTTCTGCCTGATCCTCCATGTGATGTGTGGGTAAGTAGCTGGGGTGACTGACAGGTTGGTGGGTTTCGATGTTGCAGGTGCATCAGAACAAACAAGTATGAGTGGGGGCAGTGACAAACCTGCAGCTGGAGGAGAGCCCACCACCAACCACCAACTCATACCAGATGTTTCAACTCAGGTCAATAGTGACACTTCCTTAACAGTAGAGAGATAGATCCTCAGAAGTTGGTGCTCAGCAGAAGGCACAGAAGGAAAGATCTCAAGCCCAGAATGTCACAGAGACATAGTCATGGAATCACAGAAACACAGAGGGTCCAGGAGCTCACCAACATGAGGGCTTCAGGAGATCATGCTCTTCTGGACAAATCAGGCATAACAACTCAAATTCCTGACCTTCAGAAAATACATGTCAAATTGTTTGAGTCTATTCTTTTTTTCTTTTTCTTTTCAGCGTAACAGTGTTCATTGTTTTTGCACCACACCCAGTGCTCCATGCAATCCGTGCCCTCTCTAATACCACCACCTGGTTCCCCGAACCTCCCACCCCCCGTCTTCAAAACCCTCAGATTTCTTTTCAGAGTCCATAGTCTCTCATGATTCACCTCCCCTTCCAATTTCCCTCAAATCCCTTCTCCTCTCCATCTCCCCTTGTCCTCCATGCTATTTGTTATGCTCCACAAATAAGTGAAACCAGATGATAATTGACTCTCTCTGCTTGACTTATTTCACTCAGCATAATCTCTTCCAGTCCCGTCCATGTTGCTACAGAAGTTGGGTATTCATCCTTTCTGATGGAGGCATAATACTCCATAGTGTATACGGACCACATATTCCTTATCCATTCGTCCGGTGAAGGGCATCTTGGTTCTTTCCACAGTTTGGTGACTGTGGCCATTGCTGCTATAAACATTGGGGTACAGATGGCCCCTCTTTTCAGTACATCTGTATCTTTGGGGTAAATACCCAGTAGTGCAATTGCAGGGTGAGTCTATTCTGCTAAGCTTTGCTGCCCAAGGATGCAGAAGTATCTAGAATGAAGTGTCAGATCAGAGGGCATAAGGAGAGGGAGGTGCGGGAAGCACATTTGCATGGAAGCCACTCCCTTCAAGAGGCAGGGGAGGAGATAATAGATGTCTGGGAAAACAAGCCTCATAAGGCAGTGCTATTGGGAAGTCTCCACCATGGCCTGGATTCTGGTCTTTCTCACCCTCCTCACTGAGGGCACAAGTGAGGTCTCCAGGGAAGAGGCCATGCAGACATCTGAGCTGATTCTTTCTCTCCTCTTCAGACTCATCTGAGGCCTCAGCACTAAACTAATAATAGTATTTTTCCTCTTTCCAGCATCCTGGGCCCAGTCTTCCCTGACTCAGCCATCCTCAGTGTCTGGGGCTCTGGGACAGACAGTTACCATCTCTTGTGATGGAACCAGAAATGACATTGGAAAGTATAATGATGTCGACTGGCACCAACAGTATCCTGGCATGGCCCCCAAAATTCTAATTTATAATGTAAATACTCAGCCATCAGGGATCTCTGATTGCTTCTCTGGCTCCAAGTCTGGCAACACAGCCTCCCTGACCATCTCTGGGCTCCAGGCTGAAGATGAGGTTGATTGCTCATCTTGATTACTGTTCCTCATATACAACCAGTAATACTTATCACAGTAGCCCAAGTTCATGGGGAAGTAAAACCAAAACCTGCCCTGTGTTCACAGGCCCCCTCCTTGCTTTGAGGATGCTTCCACAATCCTAACCATGTGCAAAGGGGCTTTGTGCAATGTGGCCTTGAGAATTCAGTTCTCTCTCAGGTCCTCTCCATCCTGCAATGTAGTGAAATGAAACAGGGTTCCTGGAGAATTGCCTGCGGAAATGACAATCTCTTTGCTCCTTGCTATGTGACCAGAACATTTTCTCTCCATTGCTCAATGGCAGGAAGAGAAGGACAAAGAGACCTATGTTCTGTATAATTTTCACAGTTCTTATGGAAATCCTTATTTTAAATAACAGCTTCTCACTCCTGTTAGTCCAGAATGGAATCATTTATCCAGAAATGTTGTTTTACTCAATTCAGTGTTCACTATTCTTTAGTCAACATGATCCTCCTTGGTGGGTTATTGTTCTGCATCTCAGTGTTTGAGAAAACAAAAACTCAGTGAAAACCTGAAGACCTAGCTGAAGGAATGAGCAGAAAAGGAAGATGTTTTTCCAGTGGCCCTCCATTTGACCCCATACTCAAGGAAATTGAGCAGGGAGATTGGGAGTTGAGATTCTATGATATGTGGAAGCTCTCCTTCCCTCAGATCAATGAATCCCTATCCTGAATTCAATCTTATCTCCTTAACAGGGTGGGCTATTTTGAGCATGGTTCCATTTTCTACTGGGGAAGAGAAGGCTTGTATCCATCCCTCAGGGAATCCCATTATATGTGATTTTCATAATGAGCCAGCCAAAGTTCTACCTATATTGTTAGTTATAAGAAGTATCTAAATACACACACACACACACACACACACACACACACACACACACACACACGACATATATTATATATACTATATGTCTAAGGATTCTCTATCCATTAACTGAACCTAGTGTAGACCTTAGGAAACCTATTTTAATAACCAGTTTTTCCCTTTGCCAGAACATTCCTAGTTTTAGAGGTGGAAGTGCCACATCCTAGCAATATCCTCACTCTGGGGCAAATCAGGATGCAAGCTTAGTTTACCTGAGAACTTAGTCTCTCTCATTATGTTCCCTCCTTTAGTTGTTTTTCCAAATCATTTTCCAGTTGCCTACGTTCTTCCCCCAATAAATGATCAATTCCTTCATGCTTTAGTCATCTAGACTGGAAATGTGCATACAGTGACACTGGGTCACATCACAGTGGAAAGGGGCATTTGCTTTTGAGGACACAGAATAAGGACCAGAGTTAGTCTCACATCTTTGTGAAAGGTTGTACAAAGATTGTACCTGCCTTTTGAATGTGTGTCCTTGTGGAGAAACCCTGTAGGAGTTAGAGAGACCACTGTCTGGTTATTCTCTTTGGTATCTGATATGATGTTTCCAGACTGGAACAACATCAATAAGATCTTTACAAAGTCTCTACATGAGCATAGGAGGGGAAGAGGCAGATTGATTACTCTAGTGAGTCTCCTTTTAATATGGGACCACACTTTCCTTCTGAGAAAGTATTTAATATTTTAATAATAGGGAACCTTGCAAAGAAATTCTAAGTGTACATGTTGTGTGAGCAGGATGGCCTCAATATAACATACCTAGGTCTGCCATAGACCTTTGGGTAGTGAATATGTAGAGTCTCAAGCTGTAGAAACAGCCTCTTGGGTCTTCTGAAATAGTGAAACAATATACATTTAAATATTTTTGTGAAAAGATGAAAGACTGCTATTTGTAAAATGTGTATAAAATTTGTATATGGCATTACGTTAGTTTCATGTGAAGAGAAGACACTTTTAATGGAGATGTTTGAAACATTTTAGGTGTCCCAATGATCAACAAGTGTTTTTCTATACAGTGCAATCAGAGAATCAACACTTCAGGGCACTTTTCATTCATGGGTTCATAGAATTTCTGCATTAAGTGCCAGTAATTTTCCATGGCATCATTTCTGTTTTTTTTTTCTATTTTATTTGTATCTACCTATGTGTTTGTATACTTTTCCTATTTTAAAATTTGTGTAAGGATCATCTTTAATTTTGCTTGCAAAATAATATTCTGGGTATTGATTTCCGGGCATTATTAAACTTATTTGCTTCATTCTTATTGGAACTTAATGATATTGTATAAATGTGGTCATGTATTGCTTAATGTCACATCTTATTGTGTAAGCACAAAATTCCAGGAGAACTTAAAATGAAACAGTGACTCCTCCATCACTGGGGATAGGGAGCTGGATTTGTTCCTGGTACTAATGGAACACAAACAGAAGCAACTGTCTCATTGTAAAGTTCAGGCTAAACTTCTTTTAAGAAATGCCTAAGATCCAGAAAGTTCTCAGGAGACCTCTCCACAGTAATCACAAATGACAAGGATCCAATATATTGGGTAATAAGACATGCTCAGATGTGCAGCTGATTGATTTATGAGAAAAGTTACCATATTATTATATATGTGTTACCATATTGTTATTATATAAAATAGTAGACATTATTATATTTGAAGTTATGTCCAAGATTATAATACATGCTAATTTAAAACACAGAGGAATGAATGTGATTGCATCAAAAGAAAAACTACCACTTCCAAGAATGACCCTTTCCTTCTGTTCCAATCCCTGAGGCCACCAGGTAGCAGGTCCAACTCTTGGCCAGGATGTCTTCTCCCTTGTGCACTTAGAAATATGTATTACAGGGGTGCCTGGGTGGCTCAGTGGGTTAAGCCTCTGTGTTCAGCTCAGATTATGATCCCAGGGTCCTGGGACCAAGCCCCACATCAGGCTCTCTGTTCAGCAGGGAGCCTGCTCCCCCCGACCCCCACCTGCCCCTCTGCCTACTTGTGATTTCTGTCTGTCAAATAAATAAATAAAATCTTTTAAAAAAAGAAATATGTATTAAAGACATGTGAGTAGTGGCATGTAAGTAGTTCCTTAAGTACATTCACACTGCATAGAATTCCTAGTCTCTTCCCAAGGGACACTTTTCTTCTAGCATGGACCATCAACCTTGATTGGGATTTCCCCTTTCAAACATCTTGTTTAAAAAGCAAATTATGTAAGACATCTGTCTCTGGTTGGAGAGGAATTTGCCTCAGGAAGGTGCACAGCTCTGAGGTAAATTAGTCTCTGCAAAAAGATTAAAACTAGGGCAACCTCTGCCCCATATAATAGAAAGAGAGCTGCACTCTGATGAGAGGGTTTTGGAGTTGAGTCCCTTAGAATAATCTATCAGATCCACAAATGCTGGAAAACTAAATCTTTTTTTTTTTTTTTTTTTTTAGGTTGTTCTCAATGTTGACTGAGCTCTCTTCATGCAATAGTTTTGGTATCTGCATCATGACAAACAAATCCTTTTTCAACCTGTGCCATTGTTCTCATCCAGGCTTCCTTCACGGGTGGGTTTTATTTGCCCTCTAACTTTACCTTGGCCTTGAGCCCAGAACTGTCACACTAACACAAACCCTGTGATAGAGCTATGCAGGGACAAACTACCTGTTCCTGAGGGGAAGGTCTGAGACACCTGATGTGGTAGGTGACACATTCCATTCTTGAGAAAGATGGAGACAAAGACAAACGTGTTTGAGTGGATTTAAGGGTGATCTATGGACCTGGTACTCACTGGGAGAAGAATGAAGCAGGAGAAGGAGCAGAGCAAGGAGTCCAGATCTCACTCAGCTAACTTCCCAGGTGCTTGGGTTGTACCATCTGTGACCACCATGGGGCAGCAAGGGCCTGGATTTGGTGTAGGTCATGAGTGTGATTTACCATGATCAAGTCCCAAGATATAATTCCTCCGGAGTCCTGCAAAGGAGAACCATGTGTGAGGGGTGATCCAAGTCTATTGTGTCTCAGTAAGTTCTTAATTGATAGGCCAACAAACACTCCCAGGCCTCAGTCTCAGAGCTCTGTGAGGAAGGGGACCAAAAGAAGCATGAGAACCCACCCTAAAGAAGAGAGGAATGCTGTGAGATATGTGAACAACTCCAGCTCTGTTTTTGGTTCTAACAAAGGCAAGGATGAATCTCTCCTAATTCCAGCCCCTCTGGATCCTGTCCCCACCTTGATGTACACAGCACAAAGGTTAAGTACTGGGATTATTCATAACTATACAGGGGCTCCCACAGGAGGGACATTCTAAGTCTGGCTCAATTTCCTGGGCACAAACATGAACTCTGTCCCAGAAAATCCATGTCCAAGTGTTTTAATCCTTCAGTCTAGTTCTACTGCACCAGGATGCAGAGGATTCTAGAATAGAGGTCAGATCAAAGAGAGTGAGGAGAGTTAAGTTCAGGAAGAACCTTTGCCTGGATGTTCCTCCACCCTCTGAGGCAGGTGGTGGGGATAAGAGAAATATGGGGGACACGGGCCCAGGATTGGGATCTCAGATGCTGTGTTCATGGGGCACCTCCACCATGACCTATACTCTGGTCCTTCTCTACTTCTTACTAAAGTCACAGATGACCCCAAAATTCCTCTTTTACTATACCAATCCTTGATAATAAGGATCCCTAATCACTTCTCTGGCTCCAAGTCTGGAAGTACAGTCTCCCTGACTATCCCAGGAATCCAGGTTGTGGAGTCATTGCTGCTTACATGCTGGTAGTGACACTTTCCATAGTGGTCCAACATTACTCAAAAGTGAGACCAAAATTTGCCCTGTGCTCACAGGCTCCCTTTTTGCTCAGAAGATGTTTCTCAACCCTGTGCAGAGGGGGCTTCATGTAGCATGGTCTTCAGAATTCAGTTTCCACTCATATCTTCTCCTTAGTCATCATAACATCCAGAGGCAACACTCCCTCAGGTGTTTTCCTTTGGTGTGATGATGACTTCCTCATTGCCTTTGCATTCTGATCCCAGATTGGCACTCTTCCCAACGTTTCAACTCACTAGTAAGGAAATGAGGAGACTCTGTCCTCATTAGCCTGGGCTCTTTCTATAGAGGTCCCTTGTCTTC